TAAATCAAAACGTACCCATTCCTACTTGAAACATACTAATGCTAAATTGAAACGTACCTATTCCAACTTGAAACGTACCAACATATCGGCTAAATTGAAATGTACACAATTCAAGCTATCCTTTAAAATGAAATGTACCACTAAATTCTATTTCCCAAATATATGTGAAAAGGATGGAAAGATGGGTATAAAGTGTGCCAAAACAAAAAACTTACCCTTTGGTACAGATACTCAGATCAAGAGGTGTACATAAAATGAAATATGAAGGAAGTGAATATTGTTGGAAAATATTAGTATTTAGGTTTATTTTAGTATTTGGGTTTTGCTTGTTAGTTTAGGATTTGGGCTTAGCCCATCCGAGTTAGGGTTTCTTAGATTTAGTTTTCTATAAATATTGCTTGTAATTTAGTTTGAGAATCAAGTTAGTCACAATGTAATCTCTTAGGGTTTTGTAGCCGTTTCGGCATTCTCGTTTATTTAATAATATTCCTATTATTTTGTTAGTCTTGTTCGTTGCATACTCTGATATTCAACTTGGTATCAGAGCAGGTTTGATCCTTCGGGATTTAATCTGCTTCGGGTTGGTATCTGTTTGCTTGTTTCTGTTGTCGTTTGTGTTCAGATTGTTAGTTGGTATTGATTGTTTGCAAGAAGAAAAAAATTGTTCGTTTGTTGCCTCTTAGGGTGCGTTTGTTGCATCGGACTATCTCAGACTTGATTAATTTTAGGGACTAAGCTGGACTGGCTTAAAATAGACTAAGCTAGACTAACTTAGTGAAACGTTTGGTGCAGTGTCGGACTAAGATGAGAGGATATAAACTCAACTAATTTTCGGACTTTCTGCAATCACAACTGGAATCAAACATGCATCCAGAACCCCAAACGTTCATCACAATAATATTAAAAAATTCCGACAAAAAAGATCTTTGAACTTTGAAGAGCTTCAAAGAACCAGATTCTCTTTCTCAAAGAAAAACAAAAATTATTTCACCATTTCATACTACACAGCTCAAAGCAGTAAATCACACGAATGTGGCTCTGTAAAGACTACCCCCACTACAAATATTCAAGCTTTAAAGCAAAACCCATAATATGTAAGGCATTACCTTTTCCACATTGCTTCTTCACAGAGCTACAGAGAACCCATGAACAAAAAACTAGAACTGGGTCTTCAAATTTAGCAACAAAACTACAATAATCAAGGAACCTAGAAGAAATTTAACCACAAAACCAAGCACGATAATGAAAATATAACATGATTGACCCACAATCAAATCCAAAATTTTACAACAAAATCAAGCAGGACTCTCTCTTCTTCGTTGGAAATTAGAAGCATCAGCAACAAAGGAGAGTTGCTACTCCCCTCTCCTTCTCCAAGCCTTTTTTCCTTATAATTTTCAATTTATAAATCCAAACTTCAATCCCTTTTTGTTTACTCGACCACCGATTCGAGCCCATCAACCCTCTCATCCTCCTCTTCTCCCTCATACTTTGGTTTAGATGCAAATCAGTTTTTCTCCAATTGCAGATTCAGATATTCCAGCGGAGAAGGAATAGGCGAAGGCCATTCTGTCTGAACATTAGGGCTCGACCATTCAGTTAGGGTCTGATAGGGATTGAGTGGGAATTCGAAGGATTATCTGATTTGAAGATTTAGGGTTTTTGGTGGTTGCTAGATCGTGAAGGGGAGGTGCGTTGACAGAGAGACGTTTCTGATTTATTGGATGTCGTCGTCATCGCGGTCGAAAATGGTTGAGGACGGTAGGAAGACGACGATGTTGAGTAGCTTCGAAAGGCGAGGACGAGAATGCGAGAGAGAGACGGTCTTAGCAGTCCTATGAATTTCGGGGGGTCTCGCTAAGACCGTTTAGTGAGGCCTCCAATCTGGGTGAGTGAAACTTAATCCCACTTAAGTTAGTCCACACAAATAACAAACAAAGGAAGCGTACGAAAGCTACACGAGCGTGCCACGAAAGGAGGTTTTTCGGTGCGATTGAGCGGCCGACCATGGAGGAGCCTAAACATCTCTGATTAGGAGACTGGCTAGGTTGTCTCGGTGCTTCAGTCCTGCAGGGGTGTAGGAAAGGGCATAGGTGTAATTCGGAGGGTGGCTAGGTTTGGAAATCGGGTTGCTGTAAAAGTACAGGGGTGCGCAGTGGTGGTCTTCCGGCAGGGCGCGGCGGCGCGGAGATCTGAGTGGTGAGGAGGGGAGGAAGGGTGGGTGTAGGGTAGATCTGGAAGGGAAGGCTCGGGGAAGGGCTGCGAGGTGTTTCCATGGCTGAGAGAGACGAAAAACGAGATCTCGAGGAGTTGGGGGCAAGATTTGGTTCAAGACTAAAACTGTCTGATAAGGAACGGGAGAAAAATCGACAGAAAGGCTGTCGAAGGAGCTCTGTTAGGGTTCCAGTTCACCCTAATTGCGGAAGTTCTCACATCCAAAGAGGTGTGTAGTGAGGCCTTCATTGACTGCTTCTCGTCACTATGGAGGGGGCAGGAAGGAGTATCAATCCGCGACATTGGAGAGCGCAGATTCTTAGCACGTTTTGCTGGGATGAGAGATCTACAAAGGGTGCTAGAGGTGGACCAGCCATGGACTTTCAAAAGCGATATGGTACTGGTAGCTGACCGAACGGGGAAAGGACAGAATAGATGGGCACCACTATCTAGCGGGGAGTTATGGGTCCAGATCCATAATGTACCACCGCTAAGCATGACGGCGGTGGTAGCGGAAACCATTGGAGGACTAATGGGCATTGTTAGAAAGGTAGATGCATCAGGTAGCCGAGATTGTATCGGAAGATTCCTGCGGGTCAAAATTTGCTTCAATATGCGGGAACCTCTCATGCGAGGGACCTTTGTGAAGTTTCCGGATGAAGGAACTGTATGGGTGGATTTCAAATATGAATTCCTACCAAGATACTGTCTCATTTGTGGTATACTGGGACATGCTACCCGGGTTTGCAAGGAACTGCAGTTGGACCGAAGAACAGATGGGGATGGTAAGGGGGATATCGATGATACCCCTGCATACCGTGGGTTGGAAGCAGAAACTGATATCCGAGGGAAACCTTTGGGATCTAACTCACGCAGTAAAGCTTCCGTTGGGTCTAACGGCGGGAGAAAAAGCGAAGGAAGATGGAGGAGAGAGCGGATCGACGACGGAGATGAGAACCGAAGAAGCTCTCGCTCATCTTTGGATTCAGGCATAGGAGATCTGGCACAAACTAGAGACCGGAGCCTCCTCAGCGGCGAGGAAAGTGTAGCTCGGGGGGAAGAAGAGGTGGTTGATACGGCATCCTCGCCAAGTAAACCGCGAGCCTCTTCAACTCTAAAAGGGAGTAGGGGTAAAACGCTAGCTGGGGAAATTCGATGCCAAAAAATGAGGGCCGAGGAAGCAAGACGGGCACGAGAGGCCGCTTTCGATGCAGGACTAATAGAACCGGGGGGAGTGATGGCGGAGGAGGCAAGGCACATTATTCTGAAAGAACTTCCTGAACTAGAGGACAGACAATATGAGGCTAACAAACCAAACAGAACGGGCATAGGCATTGACTTAAATGTGGAACTGCAAAATGCAGATACTACCGATGGACATGCGGTGAACGGAAGGGGAAGGCAGAACCAACAGGTAGGGCTGGGTTCGGTTCTTTTCGGTTCGGTTTTTTGCCAAAACCGAAACCAAACCGAAATTTCGGTTCGGTTCGGTTCGGCCCATATTTTTTTCGGTTTTTTTCGGTTCGGGTTCGGTTTTTTTTCGGTTTTTTTTTTTTTCCTCCAAAAAATGCAAAACAACCACAACATAAGATAGAAATAGAAAATATGACATGTTTCCATCTCTCCAGGACGGTTTTTCAATATTCATGAGGGAAGTTACTACTTACTAATTAATCTAAAAACATAAAGTCTCATAAAACTAAAAGTCTTCAAAAAATGAAAATAAACATTTAAAGTTCAACTAGAAATAGAATCAATCATCAATCAAGTTTAAGTCTTCAAAAGTCCAAATTAAACATCAAAGTTTAAGTCTTCAAAAAGTCCAAATTTAAACATCACACAAGTCAAATAAACCTTCAAGGTTTCATCACTTCATGTCTTGCACAAATAAAATCTTCCAAGTCTTCAAGCTCAAGCTCATCGCATAGGCGGCCTAGGAGGCAACATAACAAATTGCATAAGCTCAGAAGTTCACAACCATGTAAAACAGGTAAGATTAATACAACAAGCATAACGCTATAAAGGACAATACTGAAGGCTAAGAAGAGATGAATGTAATGATTTAAAATGAACTCTCACTCAACCTAAGGCTATATACAATCTCCTTATTAATTTTGTTTAAGTGTCAGCGAGGTAAGACAACCATACCTCTTCAAACCGCTCAGCTTCATTAGCTGATTCAGTTTCAGCAACCACGGCAGGTGGTGGAGGTCCTATAAAATATTCAGAATCTTCTTCCAACTCAGCTTCTCTGTACATATGTAATAAAAACCACAACATTTCAAGCAGTCACAATGAGAAAATACTATAATCCACCACCACGTCAACAGGTAACCCAAATTATAACTGTAATTCAAAATAAACAAGACTAGAGTAATTGCAAAGTTGTTTCAAAATAATTTGCTAGCTGAATAATCTGTCAAATAAAATACCTTAGCTCAGCCTGTGCCTTCGTCAATTTGGCTGCTGCTGCAAGTAACTCAGCTGATGGCATTGCAGGGCCAATTGTCCTAAAATGTAATGCAAGCAATCAACCAAAAAATAACAAATCAAGGTTCTTTTCTTAAGCAATACATAAGTGTCATTCAATATTCGATCAACATATATCAAGCCCATCAGTACCTGATGCAATATGTAAAACTAAAGGTAGAAGTATGGTTACATTAAAAACTTTTACCAGTATATTACTTTCAAGAAGAACCCAAATTATGGGGCTGTTTCTCACGAAAAATTACAACTATGCATGTCAATCTCTAACAAAAGCTATTGAAGAAACAGATCTCAACCTCATGGCTTGTCTTTAAAACAGTAATGTACCCAAAATTTGAGGAGCTTTTCTTTCTCAAACTCGTACTCTATCTTATGGTTGTCCAACTGCACAATTGAATGAGAAATTACAGTCAGTTACATAAGAAAACTCAGAGAAGAAAAAATTTGCATGTAACGGAAAGTGAAGAAAAACAGATCTCAACCTCATGGCTTGTCTTTAATTCCACATAAAATCTCATTCCATCATCAGTTGAATCACAGCAATCCATTTCAGCACCCATCAGAATACGATGAGCCCCTAATTTTGTTTTGATCACATAACAGTATTCAACATTGGCATCAACATTATGTATCGATGAGCCCCTAATTTTTCTTTCTGTTTATCTATTTTCTCAGCAACAAAAGAGAACCTAGAAAATTCACGAGAGAAATTACGGAGAGGAGTCAATACCTGGAGGACTTTGGGGCCGAGGAGGTGAGAGGACTTTCGGAGGGTATGCAGGTCGGGCAAGGACCTGGAGGAGATGGATTTGAGGTCCATGTTGGTGAGCTCCACTTGGATCAGGATCATCGCCTTCACTTGTTCGAGGTCGCCGAAGCACACGACGAGGGCGAGGTGTGAGAGATTGAGAGTGAGAAGGGTCGCACCATCGCGGGTCGCCTGGGATTCAAGACCAAGAGAGACAGAGAGTTTGAGAAAGACAGAGAGGAGGCTCGGCTGCGCGAGAATGTTACTGGGTTAGTTAGGGTTACACTGGAGGCAGGGAAGGGAACGAGAGAGAGAAGAGGGGAATGAATAAAAGGTGTGGCTGCTAGGGCTAACTTAAAGGGGATTTCTCAAAAAAATTAAAAAACGTTTCTGAAATGTTGGAGGCATGAGGGTTCGAACCCTTGCGCTGCAACTTCAAAATTTTCCCTGAAACCAACTTGGCAACAGGTTTTGTTTTGTTATGATTGTATGAATAAACTATTTATAATATTGAAAACAATAATTAAATATATATAATTCGGTTCGGTTCGGTTTGGTTCGGTTTTCGAACCTCAAAAACCGAAACCGAACTGACCAGATTCGGTTCGGTTCGGTTTGACAGTTTCAGTTCGGTTTTTTTTCGGTTCGGTTTTTTTCGGCCTCGGTCCGGTTTGGTTTTCGGTTTTTTTCGGTTTTCGGTTTTTTGAACCCACCCCTACCAACAGGGCACCGAGAAGGATGAGATTGTGGATAAGGGGACTATAGAGGACGATCCCTTTGAGCTAAACCCAATTATAGAAGCTGTAATGAGGGAAACAAAAGGGAAAAAAAAGGCAGTATTCAGAGGTGGAGCAGGAGGATACAGGGGAGCTTTGGGCACAAAAAGGGAGAAAACAAAGATTGATTGTGTTTTCGGAGGCGGAGGAGACCAGCCGTGAGGGGTCTTCCAGGAATCCATGAAGCTAATCTGCTGGAACTGTCAGGGTATCGGGGGTGACTTGACAGTTGACAATTTAATGGAGCAAAACAAACTCCACACCCCTGACATAGTGATACTCCTAGAAACAAAAAATCGGAGTAATCGCTATGTTTTCCTGAAGAAGCGACTTGGGATGGATTTCATGCACGTGGTCGAACCAAGAGGCATTGCGGGAGGTATGTGTATTTTCTGGAGAAACTACGACCTGGTGATGCTTGTCAAATATTCGGATTTTTTCATTGAGGTAGGTATCAGTGATAAGCTCAAGGATGAGGAGTGGAGATTGTTTGCGATTTATGCAAGTACGGACGATAAGAAAAGAAGGGACCAGTGGCGCATTTTATCTCAACGGTTGGGGGTAGCGGAGGTGAATTGCGTTGTCATTGGAGACTTCAATGATATTCTGGATGACTCTGAGAAGGAAGGGGGGAATTACCGATCTGTGGCAAGCAGGAAGGACTTTCGTGACTTCGTTTCTGGCAATGAGCTGCTTGATTTGGGCTTTACGGGATACCCATTTACCTGGCGAAATCGAAGAGATGAGGGACCCATCCAACAAAGGCTTGATAGGGGATTAGCTTCGGAAGGATGGGTCTCGGCCTATCCGGAGGCTAAAATTCTGCATGAAGTTTTGGAAGGCTCTGACCATGCTATGCTAATTTTGGACACTGATTCCACTCCCTTTAAAAGGAGGAAACGGTTTATCTACGACTCCCGATGGAATAGGGAAAAGGATTGCCACGGTATTGTGGAAAAAAACTGGAAGTATAATTTTGTGGGATCCAAAGCATTTAGAGTGGTGGAGAAATTGAAATGGGTTCGCAAAGGGCTACAAAAATGGAGTAAAGCAAGTGGAAGAAACTCAAAACTGCGGATTGAAATTCTGAAAAATGACCTGAGGAACACTTACAAGTCGGACAAGTTTGCTAGTGAGGTTGTTCGAAACATGGAGGGGGAACTTAAACATTTACTCAGGGAGGAAGAAAGATATTGGAAGCTCAAATCTAGGAACCAATGGATGAAAGAGGGGGATAAGAATACTAAGTTTTTTCATGCTCAGGCTATGAAGCGACGCAGATGCAATAAAATTGTGGGGTTGGAGGATGAGCAAGGAAATTGGTGCACGGGACCTAGCGAGGTGGATGAGATAGCAGTGAGGTATTTCAGGAACCTCTTCCGCACCTGTCAACCACGAGGTACTCAGGGAATTACGGAATGTGTGGAACCTCGGATCTCATCGGAAAATGCTCAAAGGCTTATGCAAACGATAACGGAGGAAGAAGTGCGGCTCTTTATGTTCCAAATCCCGGCGGACAAAGCTCCGGGGCCGGATGGTTTCACAGGTAGTTTTTATCATGAATTCTGGGATGTGGTTGGCAGTGATATTGTGGCTATGGTCCAGGCCTTTTGGATCTCCGGAAAAATGTTAAGGAAATTAAACCATACTCATCTGGTTCTCATTCCTAAAGTAACCAGCCCGAGGAATATGTCTCAGCTACGGCCCATCTCCTTATGTAATGTGGTGTATAAGGTGATTGCCAAAATTCTTACGAACCGCATGAAAAATGTCCTTCCCCATCTGATCAGTGCTAACCAATCGGCCTTTATGGCGGGCCGACAAATCCAGGATAATATTTTGGTTGTGCATGAGATTCTCCACTCAATGAACCACCAACAAAACGGGGAGGAGAAATGTGTTGCCATGAAGCTTGACATGGCAAAGGCTTACGATCAGGTTGAATGGAGTTTTCTACTGGAAATGATAAGGGCTCTGGGTTTCCCTCATGAGTTTTGTAAGAGAATTGAGGAGTGTATAACTACGGTGTCTTATAGTGTGCTACTGAATGGTTCTGCAACTGGATTTATTCAACCAAAACGCGGCCTTCGACAAGGAGACCCCATGTCCCCCTTTCCATTCCTAATTTGTGCCGAGGGGTTATCGGCGATGCTTCGAAAAAGGGAGAAGCAAGGCTCCCTACACGGGATAAGAGTCACGCCTGATGGGATGCAAATTTCCCACTTATTCTTCGCAGATGATGCGGTCATCTTCTGTAAGGCAACTGAGGTGGAGGTCAGAGAAATATTGGAAGTGTTGAAATGCTACGCAGCTGCCTCTGGACAAATCATTAATAGAGAGAAATGCTCCCTGTACTTTGGCAACCAGTGTCCACGGCATCAACGGAGGTTGATTGAGGCCTGCACTAATTTTGTTGGAAAGGAGACTTTCGGCAGGTACCTGGGCCTTAGTGCAGACTTTGGCGCATCTAAGAAGGCTGTTTTCGAAGGAGTTCGTGAGGCACTAGATGGAAGAATAAATGGATGGGCGGAACAATTCTTATCTCCTGCTGGGAAGGAAGTGATGATTAAAGCTGTGGCAATGGCTTTACCAAATTATGCGATGTTGTGCTTTAAACTGCCAGTGAACCTCTGTAAAGAAATGGAATCAAATATTGCGAATTTCTGGTGGCGGGGCAGTAGGGAGAAAAATGGGATGCATTGGATTAGCTGGGAAAAAATGAAGAGAAGAAAGAAAGTGGGAGGGCTGGGGTTCCGGGACATTCTATCCTTTAATCTGGCTTACCTTGCCAAGATTGGATGGAGGATTCTAACCAACCCTCTTAGCTTGCTTGGCAAGATTCTTAAAGAAAAATACTTTTCTGAATGCTCTTTCATGGAGGCAAAGGTGGGGAAAAGATCATCGTGGGGGTGGAAAGGAATTATGCAAGGCAAAAGGATCTTGGAAAGAGGGAGAAGATGGAGGGTTGGTGATGGGAGCAGCATTCGGGTGAAAAATGACCCCTGGCTTCCAAGACCTCATACCTTTCGAGTTATATCAAAACACCCGGATATGCCGGTGATGGTAAAGGATCTAATCAATCCTGTGACGGGCTCTTGGATGGTCGAATTAGTTAAGGGGTGCTTTGAGGAGGAGAAGAGTAATATTATCCTTGGCATCCCAACTAGCCTGGAGGGTTGCAATGACAGAATTATTTGGCACCATACTAGCAATGGCGACTACACGGTAAGGACCGGCTATGGTATTGCAATGGAAATGCAGGAAAATGGTGAACTAGGGCGGAAAGGAACCGGGGGTTGTAGTCGGAGGGACGAACCAGACAAACGGTGGATGGAGATTTGGAGACTGGAGGTTCCAAATAAAATGAAGTATTTCATTTGGCGATGCTGCAGGTCCTCCTTGGAGGTTAGGGGTAACCTTCACCGAAGAAGAATCTATTTCTATCTTGATGCAATAAACCATTGGTTATGCACCTGTTTGCCCCTGCCAATGTTGTTAAGGAGTACCATTTTAGTAGTCAATATGTGAGACTAATTTTGCTCTACCAAACATCGTTGGAAGAGTAGAATTTTGACATGGATGGCCTTGTTGGTCAAATCCCCTTAGTAAACCATTTACTTTGTGAACATTTTTCCATGTTCTTGGATTCAAGTTTGGTGTATGTTTTACTTACGGATAATCTTATTGATATTGTCCTCGAATATGAGTTAATTGAATCATGTTTCTTAATACATGTGACCGATTCAATGAAACACGTGATTAGGTAGGAATGTGGGAAAGTTAGTTGTCTGGATGAATGTGTACTACGCACCCTAACTTTACACCTAAATCACATCTCTAACAACAACTTCAGGTCTATCCAACTTGATTAAGAGCATTGGCACGCTCCTCGTTGTATGAATGGTATTGAATCACCATTTAAGGGACCTTAAATTCTCCCTGACGTTGAGTTTTTAAGGATATTCGAGATGACAATGATTATAAATGAAACCACTGAAGAAAATAGAGTGAAATATCTTTGCACCACCTCCAAAAATGAGCCTGAACTTTTGATTTGGGGACAATGGATTGTCTCCCAACTGGAAACACGCCAC